ATAATAAAATAAGTTAAAAAAATAAAAAAGTGTAGGGGGTAATATAAGGTATAACATTTTTTTTAAAAAGAATAGATAATTATCGTTACTGCTTTTATCCTCACTTATAATATTCAAAACTATATTTTAAAAGCCAAGATATATTTCCAATCAGAAACTTTCGATTGTCCTGTAGAACATAATGCTTTATGGCTAGAAGGTAAATGTAACCCCACAGTACTTTCCATTGCAATAGCAATCTTTTAAGGACCTTCTAAAAATTCAAAGGACAATACATGAATGTCATCCTTTTTGGTTTTATAAAGAGGTTTATAACAGTAAGGGACAAGAGGTTCATTTTTTTTCTCTTCTCAGTTTATTTTAAAAGGTCATTTTACTTAAAAAAATCAGAAAGCACAGTAATATGAACACACTAAATAAAAAATAGCCTAGAAAATGTCTTATGCAAGAAGGTCAGGGTAATTGAATTCACTTCTGACAAAAAAGAAAAAAGTCCTCCTCAAACTACACGAACTACCTTACATATTAAAATGGTTTTCTTGGAGTACCAGGGTGGCTCAATCAGTTAAGCATCTGACTCTTGATTTCAGTTCAGGTCACGATCTCAGGTTTGTGAGATTGAGCCCCATGTCGGGCTCTGTGCTCAGTGTGGAGTCTGCCTGGGGATTCTCTCTCTCCCTCTTTCTCTGCCCCCTCCCCCTAAAAAAAATTAATAAAATGGTTTTCTTGTTCCATGCAACAGTTGAGAAGCACACTATTCCATACTAATAGAACTCAGAAAAGTTCAAAGCAAAATTAAAAGCAAAATATGTACCTAATTCTTTAACATATAAAACTTTACAGGAAAATGTGCTTTTTATAATCTAAAACATAACAGATTATCTCTGTACTCTCTACAAATTGAGTGAGTCTGTCTGAACACCTGTTGTCATTTATATCCAACCACATGGTGGGGAGAGATAGCTCTGGACTTGGGATCAGAAGATCTGAGTTTCAGCTCAGTTCAGCCTCCCGGTCTTGGTCACTTCAAAGATAGAACAAGGTTTACTACCCGCACCCTCCCTGGCACGCTTCTCCCTCAACAGCAGTCAATGACCTTGCATCTTATTCCCTCAGGACATCCTTCATGACTTCAAGGCCAAATAAGTCCCAAGTAACGGAATATGTGCCTCCAAGGTAAGAATCTTCTACATAGGGACGCCTGGGTGGCTCAGTTGGTTAAGCGTCTGACTTTGGCTCGGGTCATGATCCCAGGGTCCTGGGATCGAGTCCCGCATCGGGTTCCCTGCTCAGTGGGGAGCCTGCTTCTCCCTCTGCCTGCCACTCCCCCTGCTTGTGCTCTGTCTGTCAAATAAAATCCTAAAAAAAAAAAAGAATCTTCTACGTAACCTACCAACTGTCGGAGCTTCCCATTTAAAGCTCAGCCTCTAAAGCCGTAAAAAGCAAAGCGTTAAAGATCCGTGAGTAGCACTCAAATAGATTTTAACTCTCAAAGGACAATGATAAAAGGTTATTATGATTACCAGTATGAAAGTAAATAGAATAGTATTACTGCTATATATGGAAATAAAATGAATAGCCCAAAAGAATGAAATTTACAGAAATACCCGGGAGAAATGTACCAGGTATATATATTAATTTTTTTTAAAGATTTTATTTATTTATTTGACAGAGAGAGACACAGTGAGACAGGGAACACAAGCAGGTGGAGTGGGAGAGGGAGAAGCAGGCCTCCTGCTGAGCAGGGAGCCCGATGCGGGGCTCAATCCCAGGACCCTGGTATCATGACCCAAGCCGAAGGCAGACGCTTAACGACTGGGCCACCCAAGTGCCCCAGATATATATATTCTTAAAAAACTAACAAAACTGTATAAGAGATAGGAAATGCCTAAATAACTGGAGACATAACGTGTTCTTGATGAGAAGACTATTACAAAGATTGCTTACAAAATAATTCTTAGGTTTAACAAAATCTCCACTTTTTTTTAACATTAAGGATAGGAGGCCACTTAATAAAATTACTCCAATGTTCCTATGAATAAACAAAAGAAAATAGCCAGGATGCTTTTAAAATAGGAGGTATATATATTGGTGTGTATTAAAATGTGTTACAAAATAATAATAGTAAAAGTAAAAAATAAAACTAAAATAGTTAAAATAATGTGGTACTTATAAGAATGAAGAACTAGGTCAACAGAACAGAATAAAACAGTATATATAAGTATTTAATATATTATAGAAAAAAAGGTTAATGAACACATGAAAAGATGCTCAAAAAGATCAGTAATCAGGGAAACTCAAACAACAACGAGACACAATTATATACCCAATAGAATATCTAAAATTAAAAAGGCTGACGATATCAAGGATTTTTACAAGGATGTAGAGCAACTGGAAGTCTCATATGTTATTGTTGAGAATACAACATGGTTCAACTACTTTGGAAACAGTTTGCTGGTTTCTTATAAAATTAAACATATGCTTATCCTACAACCAGCAATTTTACTCCTAGGCATTTCCCCAAGAGAAACGAAAATATAGGTCTACAGAGAGGGATATGCGTGAACACTCATAGAAGTTTTATTCAAAATAGCACAAAGCTGGAAAGACTCCAAATG